CATTTGTAAAGCAGTTTATAGTTTTCCAAGCGCTTTCACATCCATTATCGCATTAGGTGCTCAAATTTGCCAAGATTAAAATTTGCGGAGGCAGAATGACAGAGTGTGGTTAAGAACACATGCTCTGATGCCAGACACCTGGCTTGCTCGCAGCCCACTGTGTGGTCTCAGTTGGTGCGACCCTCAGTCCCGTTGAGGTAAAGGGGGATGGTGGCACCTTCTTCCCTGGGCCTTTGTGAAGATGCAGTGAGCTAACAGATAACAGCTGCTCGGGACAGTTCCTAGAACTTAGCAAGTACTCAGGGAAGGTCAGCTGGTATCATGGACCCTTCTCCCTACTCATCATATCCCTTTCATAAACACAGAGGTCTACTGAGTCCTAGTCCTGGAATTTGTGGCCTACAGAATGAGTTAGCAATGCCATACTGTAGGCTTCTGGCCTTTTCCACCTTACTGCAAGATGCAAAAACGTTATTGCAAAACTTCATCCATAGTTGAATGAAGGTTCACTGTTTTCTGGGACCGATATTTAGTTAAAGCAAGCATGGATTAGCAATTCCAGAAGTAGTCTTTTTAAACCTGTGCAAACAGAGTAAGAGTGTATCATCATGAAAACTCTCAAATTTCTAGCTCAGTTAGGAAGAAACGATATATTATAGCGTATATATACACTAATATGATCTATAAGTGAGTCTGAATTTTTATGTAGAAAATTAGCCTTTCAAGCTTTCTACCTGCCGAGGCTGACCTCTGTCCCACTGATGGTGGACAGCAAGCTTCCCCAGCCAACAACCAGAGTCTCTAAGGAGAGGTTCATTGGAGAAGTACCCCAGCCTGGGGCATGAAGATTTCTCCTGCAAACAAATTCGCTTCTCTTTAGGGGAGAATTTTTCAACCTTAAAGTATCGGTCTGTGTCTAGGACTTAATGCTGCTTGGATGGCAAACAGCAGCTACTCCTGGACGTGGGGATAGAAGATGAGGATTCGAGCCTCATTTTCATTTTTTCCAAGTGTATGACACTGGCTGACCAACCACTCAGCCTCTCCATCCTTCTCTTTGCATTTCTGAGAAATCACGAAAATGACTCAAAGATAATTTTTTTTTTTTACAAGTTGCTATGTGGTTTCTAGTCAATTGATGACATTGGAGACACTGAGATATTATTGAGATACTGATATTACACAAAAGAGACGTGGCTACAGGTATCTTTCTAGGGTCCCTGGCTTGTTTTATGCCCCTCAGCTCTGTCATTCCCTTAGACGTTCTCCTCTCTGTCCAGCTGGAACTATTGTGTCTTGATCAGATCAAGGACACATACTGTCTTGAATTTTATCTGTTTATCGGACAATTGTTTCGTCTCTTCTTCCTGGTGCCCTTGGACTGAGTCCTATCAAGCAGACCCCTGGGCTCAGCTTTGAGGACTGTCCCATAATGGGGAGGGGCCAGAATGAGCAAGGAGATCACAGTCTCACACCAGAGGGTGACTTGCTTTCCGTGTCGTGGTAGAGCGTGGTGATCCACTGCTGCTCATAGTTCAGGTTTCTTCTTGGAACAATTAATTACACTAAAGGCAACATTCAGTTTCCCTACATGGAATTTGAAAGCCCAGGCTCTTCTCTCCACAACTTAAAAAACCCTCTTCCACCACCCTTATCCCCCAGGAGATAGGCTTCGTCTCCTCACGACTGTGGTCTAATATTACCTCTGGCCCAAGCCTCTAGCCAAAACTTGATGGAAAGTCAAAAGTTCCGGGGTGGTGGGGGGGAACACACCATAAGTTAAAGCCCAAGACTGTAAGTGCTTTCGAAACCTCTGGAAAATTTGTATTTTCTACCTCAATGCACAGTAATGTTAATAAAGGTCATCAAGAGTTAGTTATATGTAAATTTGACTTCCATTATAAAGTAATTAAGGATTATCCTATAAGTTTAACCGTTTTCATATTCTCACATAGCTTTGCTCTCTAAAATTGGAATGAATAAATGCTATTCATCTGAAACCTAGTGAGCAATGGAAATCATTCGAAAAGGCACACACTGTAGCGGCTGTTGTCCTGACGGTTTCGCCCTTACCAGGTGACATGTCAGTGCTGTAGTATTATGATACATTGCTCATTGTTGCAATTACCTGTGTCACACTGCATCTAGGTCTCATGCTTGAGATGTGTGAACGAAGTAATGAGATAGAGAATCTCGGCTTGTTTTCGTTGAGTATGGATCAGATACACGACTGAGTCTGTAAAAGATGAGCCGACCTGACTATTTCATGGTGTATGTTTCAGGAGCACGTAAATCACCTTTTTAATTGAAATGCCCTTGGAAAGGGACTTTAAATTGCCACCTTAAGGTCCTGCATGGAAAGCATTTGCAGGTTTCGTGATAATTTTATGAATCTATTTGGAATTTACAAAAAATTGTTGGACTTGCTAACTACAGAGGCTAGAAAGTTCATCAGAGCAAAGACATGGAGTCTTCTTAAAAGACAAATAACCAAGACCCACGGTTCTCTTGCTTTACAGATTATGTCCCACTACTGGGGCGCCTGGGTGGCTCAGTCGGTTAAGCATCTGCCTTCGGCTCAGGTCATGATCCCGGGGTCCTGGGACAGAGTCCTACGTCAGGCTCCCTGCTCATCGGGGAGCCTGCTTCTCCCTCTCTGCCCTTCCTCACTGCTTCTGTGCGCGCGTGCTCTCGCTCTTTCTTTTGCTCTCTTTCAAATAAATAAATAAATATTTATTATTAATAAATATTTATTATTAATAAATATTTATTATTTATATTAATTATACATAATACATTATCCATAATATATAATTATATAATGTGTTGGTTATTAATGATTAATATTCATTTATCAGAATAAATATTTTTAAAAAATATCATGTCCAACTATTTAGAAGAAGCCAAAGATTTTGCTTTATTTGATTTCATTTTACTGACATTTCCAAAGTTCTGTGCACTGTTGTATCTGTTCGAACTTTCACCGCCCTGGAGATGTGCTATCACAGGGGAGGGGGCATGGCCAGGGAAAGCCATTACCTCGGAGGAAAAAGAAGCAGCCAAAGGAAGTCTCAGTGGGAAGCTGCCCATCGTCAGGTAGAGTGGTGACCCATGACTTTAAAGGGCCTTTGCTCTTTCAGGAGAGCCCACTCTCCTCCACTGGGCTGTGATCTTCAGGAGGGTAGTGACCAAGGGGAAGGCCTTTGGCCACAGTTTGTTACTGGTTCCCCAGTACCTCCCTCTTCTTCCTCCTCCTTGCAGTGTCACTCTCTGGCCCTGCCCACATCACCCCGGCTCCTCTTCCTCCCACAGGCTCTCCTCTCTCTCAGCCTGGCCCTCGCCTGGGTCTCTTGAGTCTTGTCTCTGCACCTCGAAGTTTCCCCAGCAGCACCACCATTGTGGCAACCACAATGGAACTTTGACTGCACTCCCCATAGTGACGTCGTATTTCTGGTGATAAGGCCTATAATACCATCAGTATGGATTCAACGATGTTTTGCTATTGCAAACTTCACCATCTGTTGTATACTGTTTGCTTCGGACTCTATTTTCTAAATTACAAGAAAAAGGATTGTAATTGTACTTTTGTTATGCTCTTCATGATGAAACTGGGACTGGATGGGAACATTTTTATATCCTTGCTTGACTTTTTTCCAGATTTCAAAATACCCAGTCTTACCTGTATTGGTTAATTGGCTTATTATTCAGTATCTAATGGTGAGAATGTATGTTTGCATTGTTCAGAAGCCTCACCAGGGAATTAGAGGGAAGGTGGGGGAAGTTCTTAAATGGCCATCGCTACAGGAACTGATGCTTTTTAAGGAAGATGCCTTATTTTAATACAAAAAAGAAAAGGGCTATTGCATGTTGAGTCTGTGGTCTCATTGGAAAGAAAGCCGTGTTATAGTCTTGAGAAGAAAGAAGTAAGGAACTTGAAATTTGCCCACATTGATTAGAAATGATACTGTGGTCTAAAACAGCCAACAGGGAAGATTAAGGATGGGTTAATGATTATACAATAGTCTATGTGTATATAATTATGCTCTTTCAAAAAATAAGCAGCCTCACTATGGTTAAGAGAGCATGAGAAACTTGGGTTGCCAAGTCCTTCCCACCCAACTCCCTCTACTTGCCCCAGACCCCTCTCCAGCCACACAATGGGATATAGCAAGTGCATACACGCTTCCTACTTCTCTGAACTCCCATAGTGAGTAGGAAATGAGATTAAAGAAATTTGCTTAAAAAGACGATGGGCAAACTTTTGTGAGGATCCCATCTAAACAGAATGGAAGAAGATACAGCACAGCCTCTTATAAAAAATATAATTAAATAGTACGGCCAGGCACTGGATCTCATTTCTCCATCACTCACATTAACAGCACCAGCTTTAACACTGTATCTTCTCATTGTTCTCCTACTGTGCACTGCTGTGATGGCAGAGATAACCAGCCGTCAGATACCATGTGAAATCAGGGTGAATTCTCCATTGTTTGAAGACCTATTAATATTTTAAACACTGTCTACCCTTCAGGCACTGAGGTATTACATCACTATACAATACAATCTGCCACTGGTGGGAAGGTTTCAAGTGTTTTAGCATCCTGATAATTAAGTAGGAGATATAATTATATTAATACGATTAATGTGAACCAAAAGATAGACTTTGGAATTATTTCAAATGTTTCTGATATTGTGTAATCCAGAAATAACTACTGGGATTAACCAATTTGTCTCAAAAGAAATGTCTCTATGTAGGTCAGGATGAGATCATTTGGAAAAAAAAAAAATGTACTCTTTTTGAGAACTTTTAAACTGCCAAAAAAAATCTCATTTAAGAGCCGGAGTCAAATTATATGGTCATTTTAGTTCTCAGAATTCAGAGCATAGATGGCTGGCATCGTGTGCGTGTGATAATTCTAGGCTACTCTCAGTAAATAATACATGTCATTTCTGCTTCGCTGAGGTTGTCACTTAAACTGCTCTAATGACTTTCAATGCAGGGCCCAGCCTGCTCTCCCAGAGTGCACTTCAGCTCAATTCCAAACCTGAAGGGTCCTTCCAGTATCCGGCCAGCTACCATAGCAACCAGACCCTGGCCCTGAGTGAGACAGCCCCTTCGCAGCTCCCCACCCGCAGCTCGCAAGCCCGAGGTGCGGGCCAGACCTTCAGCCAGGTACGTGTGGGGATGGGGGTGTCCGTGGGCTCCTAGGGAGCAGGTGGGGGAGCAGGGGCTGCTGCGAGCCGGCTGTGGTTCCCTCCTGCCTTTCTTAGGTACTTTCACCGGAACTTGGAACTTGGGAGAGATGCCTTCAGGGCTGTGAGTGAAGGAAATGAATAATAAAATAAGCTGATCGAGTAACACTGAATTGTAGATCTTTTCTCGAGGAGTTTCTGTGAATCGCTCGCGCTGTACCACCTTGTACCTACCGATCTCCGTGAATGTGTGTCTGGTTACTATTTCTGTGTCTCTGTGTGGCTTAACTATGACATGCATTACGAGTCTGTGAGGGCACCGGGAACAAAGTTTTTACTCCTGGAAAAATAAAATAAAATAATAAGCATGACATAATTTGGGGGGGCCTCATCGCATCAAGGACCATGGTATTAATGGCTAATCAAGTATGCAGAACTCTTCTGAAGATAACTGATAGGGGTTTAGAAGTAGTTACCCTTTGCCGAGTGGGATTTTGAGATGTGCCTGGCATTGTGCCCTTACTCCTGTGGTTTCAGAACACAGATTTATCAGGTGCCGTTGAGATCGGATCTTGGTGAAAAGAAGTAGCTACGAACCCGAATTTTTTTTTTTCAAGAAAGATGTAAATGTTGTTTGCATGCTAATTTGGGCATGCAGGCTGTATTGGATCGACCCACCAGAATTAATATATTGATCAGAGGGCTATGTTGTTTTTTCAGCTATTTTAAACTTACTTTAATCTCTGCATTTTTGCTCCTGGGATGAAGAACCCACAACCCTGAAAGTATCCCTTCCAGCTAATGAGCTGCATTTCATACTTTCTGCATTAATGCATAATCCCTCTCCCAGGAACCCTGCCCCAGCCTCTCTCCCCATCCCGGGCTTCAGAACAACCAGACCCACCCATCTCTGTCACCAGTTTATTGTGACTAGGCATCCAAGAATCTTTCCAACTAAACTAAAAGCTACTTGAGGGCAGGGCTGTTTTGATCCGTTATCAGCAGCCCCTGGCCCTCTCCGTGGCCCCCAAGAAATGTCTACAGACAGGTAGGCGGCGAGATGAGCTAGGAATGGCATAGCTCACTCAGTCATCGGGAGATGCTTAGTTTAGGTGACATGGGCACAAGTGAAGCATAAACTGAAAGGTCTCAGTGCATTTCAATTATTAAATGATTGCCTCAGCAAGGTACTAAAAACCTGAGCACCTTCTTCAAGCAACACTCTTGTCCATCCGTCGCGTTCTAACTTTTACCTTCTTGTGATGCCAAGCTATAGGGTGTGTGACTAAAAGGGAGTGGTAAATAATACATTCCACGGAGCAGAATGGCCTGATCCCCTCTTGTGGTCCAGTGTGGACCCTGGCTCAGGCAAGGCATCTGTTTGGATGGAGAATGGAGGTGTGTGGGGCTGGAGAGCGATGGTCCCTAAGTCACTGAGGGCAGGTCACATACACAGAGGCAACCCCTAGATCTCTACTGTTTCCCAGATCCCGGATCACTGTTCTATAAAAGCACTGGTCCGTTCTACCTCCCTGAAAGAAATGTGAAAGGGTATGTGAGGGAATACCCAAAACTGGTTTTTAATTTATTAGAAAAAAATTGTATGTACAAGTAAACATGCATTTATCATAAACACAAAATAGTCTTTATTGCTTCATGACAGAACACTATATGATGTTTGAAATATTGGGTGTTATTAGCATAGGAAATACCGTCAGATTTTTTTCAATCTAATTTTATTTTATTAAAAGATGAAATGGAAGATGTATGATTTCATTCTGTAGGTTTATATTCTTTTTTCTCAAAAGCTCCCATTCTTTTTTTTTTTAAGATTTTTATTATTTATTTATTTGACAGAGAGAGAGATCACAAGTAGGCAGAGAGGCAGGCAGAGAGAGAGAGAGGGAAGCAGGCTCCCTGCTGTGCAGAGAGACCGATGCAGGGCTCGATCCCAGGACCCCGAGACCATGACCTGAGCCGAAGGCAGAGGCTTAACCCACTGAGCCACCCAGGCTCCCCAAAAGCTCCCATTCTTGAAAGGAAATATTTTTCTTCCCATCTATATGGACTCTTTGACCATGATACACTGGTTGTGGCAGAACATACATGATTTTGAATTCTTTGGAAGCACACAAGTGGGTCATAGCCCTTCATTTCTCCTTGTATCTGGCTATACTTCTAGGTCCAACAGACCACACTCAGAAATAAATATTTTATTTTCAAATTAACCTCTGAAAGCTATGATTTGGGCTTTTACCAGTGTTCTAGAACTTCTAAGACATATAAGTAGTAAAACAATAAACTTCTACTTTGTTTTTTTTAAATCTTGAACTCACTTATTACTCATGTTTGGCTTTTTTTTTTTTCCCATAAATATCTAAGACTTCGGTAATTTGAGTGGAAAACATTGAATCAAATATTTTAAAAATCTGTATTCCCATAGCTGAGCACCATGGAAAATAGAAATGTCAATATAAAATGAAAAATCAGTTAACTTACCAACTCATCTGTGAGCATCTTGTAAGCTCAGTTCATACATAGCTCTGTATGGCTGACTGTTAAAGCAAAGCTTTCTTATACAATGATAGCTACCATTTATTGAGCATGAAGACGTAATCTGTTTCACATGCATCCTCTTATTCTCCACAACGGGGCCGTATTAGCTTCTACACCTTAAAGATGGGGGGACTCAGGCTCATCACATGTAGAGACGTTGTCACATGCCATTTTACGGCAGCAGTAGTGAAAATGGGCACAAAATCTTGACTGAGTTGAAGTCTAGTGATTCTGGCCGTGTTTTATAGGTTTCCTTTTATTATTGACCATTTTAATTGAATTCGTCAGCAGCTCAAACCTATTAACATGTCTATAAATGTGGACAAGCAATATGGCGGTTTATCTCCTTCCGTGTGGTAGGAGCTCTTCTTGGAGCTAATTCTGTCATCCACTAATTAACACGGGAGGAAAACAGTAGAGGCTCAGAAGGACAGGATGGGGCCTCACATTAAAAGTCTGTTTTAAAGTTTAATCAGAAAGTGTAACAAAGTTGTAAAGATATCAAAGCTCTGTATTTGAAGTCATCAGAGTTAATAGTTTGGAGACATCTATAAATGTTCACGTTCAAGGTGATATCGTAAGCTCGAGGCGAAAGTGACTGGCGTGCTCGCTTACCGTGGCAGGTGATGGGATGGAGAAGTCTGAACCTTTAAAGCAGGGGGTTGTTCCAGTCCACTCGATGAACAGGACTGAGGCTGTTGGGCGAATATCTAAATACTATTTATTTTACGAAGTGGTAGATGTTGGTACCGTGATTTACTGTTAGCTTTCACGTGCTGCTGGATGAAAGGCATGTTTTATGGAACACCCCATAGGCACTGTGACTTCCCAATAACGTCGGAGAAGGGCTGAGCAAGTAAACCAGTATGTTTCTTCTGTATCTAGCATTGTTCCTTGAAAGTAGAGAGGCCACTTCTCATCATGGTAACATCTCCTTTGTTCAGATCATCATGGGAACCCATCTATTCCAGTGGTTTTGCTGAGCCCCGTGACACATTCTTTTCAATATTCGGAGTGGTGTGAAAGGTCATTTCTTCAAGGCTGGGTTAATTTTTAGAATATCTTGTAGTTAGAAAGCGCCAGAAGGGCTAGGGAAATTCAAATTATTGCCAACCGATGCCAGACCAAGTTAATAAGGTCAATAATCAATCAACACAAAAATATTTCTTTCTTTTTTTTTTTTTAGTCTAAAAAATATGTGTAATTCTAAAGTAAAGCAAATGGTTTTCTGTCTGGCTCATAAATCATGTCAGAATGCAATTTCAAAGGAGTATCATGCATGTTGAAAGATTCTAATTTCAACTAAAAAATACTCTAGTTTATTCAACATAATAAATATTTGTGGAATAATTATCACCAGGGTCTACAGGAGGCCAATTGCCCTATCATATCAGTCCGCAGGTAAAATTATGAGGCATAGAAGGTGCAATAAAATATTAATTCTTTGCTGTTACCCAAACTAAAATCCTTGAAAGTCATTCTCCTCAGACTCTAAGTTGAGTACATAGGGCCGGAAGACACAGAAGGTAAGACTCTTCCCATCAGACCCCAAAGCCTTTCAGGGAAGTAACATGAGACAATTTATGGTTATTCATTCCCCCATCCTGCAAGCTCCGTGCCCCAGCCTCAAATACGCTGTGCAGATCACCCCTCCTTCTCTCCATCCTTTCCCCCTTCTCCCTCCAAGTTAACCTTGGCCTTTGTGTGACTCTTGCGAGGTCCCACAATTAAAGTCGAGCTGCTTTTCTAGGTACTTCTGTGCATCTGTGGGTTATTCTTTAATGTATCCAAGATGCTCTGTGTGTTTGTTGCGTGCTGTGAGCTGTCGTGGGTTCAGGATAAAGAAGTCAAGAAAAGGGACACGGTCCCCACCCTCAAGGAACCCTAATTCTAGCAGCAGCCATGGAAACTCAGAAAACCGACCCCGGGAATAAGTAAATTACATAGCTCGTCAGAAAGCGATAATGTCTTTGAGGAGGAGATGAGGCAGAACAGGGTAAGGAGGATCCAAGGTACGGGATGGGGTGTGGCCTGGGGGGCCTTGTCTAGAAGGTAACAGCTGGGAAAGACCTGAAGGCAGAGAGACATCCAACCAGGTGTGTGGCTGTCCTGGGGACAGTGAATGCAGCGGCTCCAGGATGAGGTGGCCCGGCATGTTGACAGAACATTTTTTTTTTTTTAAGATTCTATTTATTTATTTGACAGACAGCGATCACAAGCAGGCAGAGAGGCAGGCAGAGAGAGAGGGGGAAGCAGGCTCCCCGCTGAGCAGAGAGCCCCATGCGGGGCTCCATCCCAGGACCCTGAGATCATGACCTGAGCCGAAGGCAGAGGCTTAACCCCCTGAGCCACCCAGGTGCCCCTGACAGAACATTTTGCAAGGAGGCCAAGGTGGCTAAAGTTGGGCACAGGAGTTTTCGAAGG